TATGTTCCAGGTAAAACAGATTTATAGATGTTAGTATATATTATCATAAGTAGTGAACTCTTTATGAAACATTTTTAATGAATTTCAAGAAAAATATGATTTTGGCAACAAATATGAAGAGATATTTTTTAAATGCATATTATATAGGTAGCAGATTGAAAAAATGTTTATTGTTAAAAAATACTGTCAAACATTTACATATTAGCACACTTCAAAATTAACGAACAAAATTTTTATCTGCTTATAAGTCTACCAAACAAAACATTTTCATAGAGTTTGAAACTTTCAAAAGTAAATTATTCAATGAGTTTACAGGAACAACTAACTGACATCAGGAAAAAGGCAGTTACCAGCATTTACAGGCAATTATGAGATTTTATCAACAAACCACTTTGAACTCTAAGAGACACAATTGAACATATATGATTTAGTTAAGCACAGCTAATTTTACATTTCTTTCATTTGAATTTATGTATTTTTATGAGTTATCTTTTACAACTGTGACAGTTATTATCAAATATTCAAATAACTGTACAGATTTCTATTATTACATGATATTTTAAATGTTATATGTTTTACCCACAAGACTGAGTTAATAATAAATGCAGACTTTGTATTCTTCATATTTATATCTCTACAACTTTGGCTACATGGTATATATCAAATAATTAATAAATTTTTTGTGAATGAATGACCAAAACTATAGGGAAGTTTAGTTATTCCTTGGAATCATTGGGGGATTGATTCTGACCCCTGCAGACATCAAAATTCACAGACATTTAAGTCCTTTATATAATATGATGTAGTATTCATATAGAACCTATGTATATCTTCCCATATACTTTAAACCATCTCTATATTATATTAATATAAAAACTATGTAAATGGTCGGATAAATATATTTTAGGGAATAATGACATGAAAAACGATTTGTACAGGTTCAGTGCAGATGAATACTTTTATGAATAATTTTGATTAGGGTTGGTTGAATCCAAGGATGTGTAACACATAACATAAAAAGAAAATACACATAATTACACATGCACAAGTATTCATATATGTAATAGAGAAGTACCTGATTGGGTAAATAAAACATAAAAAGATCTTAGCCTCAAATCACAATATTCATATTCCTTTTTATGACTCAACTTGTAATTCACTTATCTACATTATGACTCTTCTAATTAGAATTCTTACAAACGACCTAGTTGCCCTATACAACATGTAAGAATATTTACTTTCAAAGTAAATACTCAGTGATGCAAGGATGAATATAAAGTCAACAAAAAATGAAAAAGAAAAAAACAAACAATAAAAAAACAAATAAATATCCCAACAGAAATAAAACCATATAAGTATTGAAAGTCAGTCTTTCAAAATAACCAGGCTAAGGGTTTAGCTTAATGGTAGAGTTCTTGCCTAATTAGATGCATAAACCCTGGGTTCAATCCTCAGTACCACAAAGAAAAAAAATACTAGAAATAAATATCAAGTAGTGGAATTTTTAAAATTTTAAGATTTGGTTTATACTCACCTATAAAGACTGTAAAGCCTACTTAGCTTGATTTTTACCAAGGTAATTTCTTCATTTAATGCTCTATCAAAAAATTTTGTTTTTGAAAAATATAAAATTTTAATAAAGGCTACATCTCTTATACAACAATTATTATACTAAGCAACTTTCCTTAAATGAACTCTTTATAATGCATATCACTATATATCTTAATATATATATCACAATATATATATCACTATATATTTAAATTTTTTTGGTATCCCAGTACCCCAGTACCCCAATTGAACTCAGGGACATTCAACCTCTGAGCCATATCCGCAGCCCTGTTTAGATTTTATTTAGAATCAGGGTCTCACTGAGTTGCTTAGTGCCTCACTGTTGCTGAGGCTGGCTTTGAACCTTCAATCTTCCTGCCTCAGTCTCTTGAGCCACTGGGATTATAGGCATCCGCCAATATAAGTACAACCATGACAAAAGTCATTGAGTACAGACTGTAGTAAAAAGGCATAAATTATATTTATACATAAACCCCCTTCAAAAATCAAGGGAAGCTTGGGCCCTCAATATAGGGCAACATTGGCACTATGTGGCTTGGGCTTGCTCTACCACTCTCTAGCATCTACCACCAGACATCCTGCAACCTGTCTCCTTCCTCCCTAGGAAGTTGCAGGGCCCTAGCTCTGCTAGGGGCCCCTCCTCCCGTGGCTCTCAGGGCCAAGCCCCAGCTCTGTGCCTTGTCCTGGTTCATTTGGGCAAGGTACTATCTCTGTTGCCACAAAACTGCTCCCTGGGCATGGACTCTGGAGCCTTAGGGTGGCTCTTACATTTCGAGTACTAGTAATATACAGTGCCCCCAGGGCAGAAGCAGTGTTACCTTCAGTGTCTCCCCCTCCTCTATTTCCTCCTTGATCTTAGGGATGGCATAGTGTCTTAAGTAGTGATAGTCTGTTTTGTTGTGAAGTCCTAGCTTCTGACCAGTGTGTAAGCAGCTGCAGGAGGTGAGAAAGAGAGCTTGCCCCTGGACGGAAGGAGGAAGTGGTACTGATGATGGTGGTGGTCTAGGAAGCAGGAGCATGGGCTGTAGTAGCCCAAGCTGGGTGACTGGCAGCCAGGAGTCTTGAGGACTCTGGAGAGGTGATCATCTGTAATCTTCTGATAGTCTTCCTTGTACCAGCATGGAACCCGCTCCCGGGAGCTCAGCGCCTCCTTCTCTTCGTCCTTGTGATCTGCCAAGTTCTCCAGCTCTAACTTCAGCTTCTCCAGCCTCCAGATGAACTGGACCACAAAGATAGCGGGCATCATCTCCTTGGGCAGGCAGTGGGTTCTTGGGAAATGAAGTAGGGACACTTGGCCATTGGCCTTGGCACTATAAAGCATTTCTCTCTGGATCTGTTTCTTACAACTCATGGGATAAAGAGGGATTCCATTCTACACTACTGTCCTTCAAGGACATGGAATCATATGTTAGCACATCACTGGGTGTCTCACTGTCATTAGTGCTGGTGGCTTGTACAGTACAAAGACACAGCCAGAAATCTTGTGGTATGGGTTGATAGGATCACTCCTCTTGAGGAATCTGCATCCATTTTCAGACAGTTCTGTGGACCGCACAATCACTGTGGACCTCAGAATTTTGTTGGACAATCCAATCATACTGGGAGAAAGTTTGCACTTGAAGTCAGCACAAGTCCATTTCCTTTCTTTGTTCAAGGTAGGAAGGTAGCCATGCAAGATCTTTAGACTCCTGAGTTCAGCATTACTCAAGTAAGCTGTGTTCTCTCCCCAACTCCTCACATATTCAAGGTATATATTAGAAGTAAAAACATGTGGTAGGCATTTTTCCTCCATCACCAAATGGATCTCAGTCTGCGCCTGGTCAACATGATGGAGTCAATTTGTTGCTTCTTGATATCATCTCTAATGTAGGTCTTGGTGGCAGGTTTCAGTTGCTTGGAGACAATGCTGTTGTTTTCCATGTACCTCTTGTAGATCACTTTGGCTACTCTCAAGTTTTCGTATCCTTAAAGTTCATCTGCCTGAATCCACTCAAAGCAAACCAGAAGTCTGAGGTCTCCATACATTTCTACCCCTCCAGGAAAATCCAGAAGAGGTCAGCACCGTTTTAGTCACTCAGTCAGCAGTGTGGGGACTTGGTCCACCTAGTCAGAGGGGAATAGGGGAATGCTCGCTCCTTGGCCTCCCCCAGCCGTCTTCATTTTTCGCCTGGCATTATAGCAGACAGACATGGGTTTTCTGACCTGACCTTTCCCCATCCCTGGCAAACAGGGTGGGATCTCCCTTCTTCACCTGGAACCAGGGGCTGAAGGGCATCCTCATGGAAGCAGCTTCTGGAACCCAGAAGAGCCTTCCATTTTCTCTCTGCAATCCGTGGTATGGGTGTGCCTCTGTCTGTGTCTGTCTCTTTCTCTCTTTGGGATATTCTCTCTCTCTCTCTCTCTCTCTCTCTCTCTCTCTCTCTCTGTCTCTGTCTCACACTCGCTCTAGCTCTGGCTATCTCACTCTCTCGCTCTCTCATCTCTTTCAAGTCAGTATGGGCTCATCTAAGCCTCCTCTCATTGATCAACACACTCTCTACACTAGACCTTGCAGCCTTGGCCTCTCGTTCTCCTTAACTCACAGTGGCAGCCCTGGGACCCCTGGTCTGGCTGCAGCATGGGGGAACATAAGGAGTCTACCACAGGGGAGGGGGTCAAAATTTTTTAAAATAATAAATCATACAATTATTAATAGAATATTTGATAATATAAAATCATACTTATTCCTCTATGGTAATTAAATTAGATAAAATTTAAATAAGATTAGAATTTTATTTGAAAAAAATTAGTGTACACAAATGATATTCCATTAATATGCCTTCTACTTGCATCTTTAGAAGGAAAATTCAAAAAGAAAAGTAAATAAAATAAAACAAATGCTCTTCTTAAGAAAGGATTTCATAGGATATATATTTTTGCTCATAAAACAAAAATAAGTTGATAATGATTATAAAAGTTATTCTGTTAATTACATTCAGAAAAAAATCACTTTAGAGAAGTTAAGATATAAAAAACTGACAAAAATTTAAGCCGAAATTTGTCCGTATCTTCCAATCTTCTATGCCCAACCTATATGTATGATCTTTATTTCCTCAATATGTACTACAAAAGTAGCGTGGTGCTTAAGAATACAAAAGGTACAAAATGGAAGGTATGGAAAATAAGACAAAACTTCTATAGCAAATGTTAACACTGGCAAGCTTTTTTAGAAACATATGATTTTCTAGAAACATTTCTCTCTCATTCCAAAGTTTATATTTATCTTAATTATATTAGTTTGTTGTTATCTAAAACTGTATCTATGGTCTACTAATTACACTCTAGTAGTCCTTAAAATATAGCTATAATACTTTTGGATCAACATAATCAAAATAAAATTAAATGTGTAAAACCAAATTTAGAAGCATAATTATCACACTGATACCTACCTCCTAGAAATGCCATTAGCCAGACATTTATGGCTGCAGGATTTAGAGGAGAGTGGTGATGAAGTTGGAGACAAGTTGAGAGGGGCAATCAAACTGTTGATGATTTCAGTTAACTGTGCACTCTGCAAGAAAACAGTCAATCCTTTAATAGTGTTAAGCAAGGGATGTGAGTTAACTCTCAGGTCTATATTCCTATTCAATACTTAAACTTCCCATCAAACATGTAATTGCTTATTTTTTTTAAGTTGTAGGTGGATACAATATCTTTATTGATTTTATTCATTTATTTTATGTGGTGCTGAGGACTGAACCCAGTGCATTATGCGTGCAAGGCAAGTGCTCTACCACTGAGCTACCACCCCAGCCCTGTAATTGTTTATATTTTAAGAAATCTCTTAATCTAGGAAGATGATTTATGCTACAATGATTTTTTTACTTTTTTCCCCCTTTGGCAGTATTGGGGATTAAATACATGGGCTTTCTACAACTAAGCTACATACCAAGCCCTTTTTATTTTTTATTTTGAGACAGGGTCTCACTAAATTACCCAAGCCAATCTCGAACTTGTGATCCTCCTCAGTCCCCTGAGTAGCTGAGATTACAGGCATATACCAATGAGCCCAGACGATTTACATTTTTAATTATTCATTGTTTTCCATATCATTTTTATTACAATTCCTTTATCTACTAATCTCATCCTCTAGAACATTTGAAACCAGCTAATAATATCTATATATCTTCCTTGAGACAAGCCCATTAATAATAAAAAAATGATAGATATACTTTATTGTCCACTATATGCCAGATACTGCACTAGGCAACAAATTTAGAATAGTTCTAATCTTTAAAATTAATCTTCTAAGTAGATATTAGAACTATTAATATCAGTATTAATACCAAATATAGATGATGAAATTATAGGAAAGAAAGATTAAGTAGTTTGAACGAGTATCATGAAGGTGTTAAAAAATGAAGGTAGGATCCAAATTTCAGGCATTCCAATTTAATATCAGATAAATTACTAAATAGCCTTCTGAATTACAAAATATTTATAAAAGTGTTTTTTTTGTTGTTATTTTTTATTTGTTTGTTTCAGTACTGAGGATTGAACCCAGGGTGCTTACCCACTGAGCAACATCCCCAACTCCTTTTTTATATTTTTATTTAGAGACAGGGTCTCACTGAGTTGCTTAGGGCCTTACTAAGTTGTTGAGGCTGGCTTTGAACTCACTATCCTCCTGCCTTAGCCTCACAAGCCGCTTGGATTATAGGCATGCGGCACCATGCCCGGCTAAGTGGTTTGATTATATATTTCAACTAAGGAAAACTGTAGGCAATTACAGACCTAAAAAATAGGGGAAATATATGGGAAAATATATATTGTATTTTGGTTTACTAGGAACCAATCACTAAATTATTTCACAGTGTATGTTAAAAAAAAAAACAGGAAAATTAGATGTAGGCAGATATGAATCCATATTATTTCCTAGAGGAACAGTGTCACATGCAGCAGTGGTTAAGAATGATTATGCTCTGACAGATCTGTCCAGTTGCAAAGGATAGATATAAGGTAGATATGTCAGAATAATCAAACTTCTGAAGTCATTTACAATAGAATTTAGATACCAGAGAAAGCTTTGGAATCAGAGTAATTTGTTAGAGGCTTTTCTGACTTTCCATTTGAATAATCGTTCTTTATAAAGACACTCATAAGTAAAGACACTCATATTCCAATATTATCTTTCACTAAATTCCTGAACAATAAATTTGGTCAACTTTTCAGATTTACCAACTACTTGTAACAAATATCCCTGTTCTTTTCCACTGAAAAAAGTCTAGTAATAAGCAATTTTTTTAGAAAAAGGATTTTTCCAAGCCCTAGAATAGATGAATGATTAAAATCTAAATAATTTAAAGAATATCAATATTAAAATAAAGACAAGTCATAGAGTAAATATTTTGATTGGGTGTAATGTAAATTTGCTAGTTTTATTTATTTATTAAATTGACTAATCAATTTTTGTGGTACTAAGGATTAAAACTAGGGATTCTTTAACACTGAGCTATATCCCCAGTCTTTAATTTTTTAGAAAGATCTGGTTAAGTTGCTAAGCGTCTTACTAAGTTGCTGAGTCTGGCTTTGAATTTATAATCCCCCTGCCTCAGCTTTCTGAATCACAAGGATTACAAACATGCATCACTGCACCCAGCAAATAGTCAAATTTTAGTAATCCATATCCCAGGCAGACACATATATAATAATATTTATTTGAGTAATTTATAAAATTGGTGAAAGTTATTTCACACCACAGATGCTTTATTCTGATTTTACCTGTTTTTCTATGTTTCGAAGAAGTAGGGTAGGGCTGCTTGGTGACATCTCAAAATCCTGTTCTGGTAAAGGATCTTGATTCCCTTGGGGAACCTGAGGATTCCCTGTAGTATTTAATGAAGCTGCTTGATCAGCAAATTCTATTTGTTTTTTCAAAATGTCTTTTGGAAGCTGACATTCTTCTAGGATCACTATTCCCTAGACAAAGAGTAATGAAAAGAGTTGAAATTGAAACAAACTGATTACTAAAATCACCTTTAATACTACAGCACACATGATACTAAACAATATATTATCCCTTGAGAATCACAAAACATACACTTGAAAACACAGCTTAACTCTTCAAAAAATTGGCTTATTTAAACTGTGTGCAATTCCTCAGAGCATTAATTTCCAGGATATTTAAAGAACTCAAAAACTTAACACCAAAAGAAAAACTAAATAATCAATAAATGGGCAAAGGAATTGAATAGACAATTCACATAAGAAATACAATCGATTAATATATGAAAAAATGTTCAACATATCTAGGAATTAGAGAAATGCAAATTAAAACTACACTGAGATTCCATTTCAGTCCAATCAGAATGGCAGTTATCAAGACTACAAGTAACTAAATATTGGCAAGGATGTGGGGAAATGGATACACTCACACATTGCTAGTGGGACTACAAATTGGTACAACCACTCTGGAAAGCAGTATGGAAATTCCTCAAAAAACATGGAATGGAACCACATTTGTCCAAGTTATCTCAAAAAAAGGTAAACTCAGCATACTACTGTGACACAGCCACAATATTTATATCAGCTCAATTCACAATAGCTAAGCTATGGAACCAACCTAGTTGCCCTTCATTAGGTGAATAGATTAAAAAAATGTGGTATCAATAGCTAAATTGTGGAACCAACCTAGATGCCCTTTAGTAGATGAATGGATTAAAAAATGTGGTATATATACACAATGGAATATTACTCAGCAATAAAAGAGAATAAAATCATGGCATTTGCAGGTAAATGGATGAAGTGGGACAAGTTAGCCAATGCTAAGTGAAGTTAGCCAATCCCCCAAAACCAAATGCCGAATGTTTTCTTTGATATAAGGAGGCTGATTCATACTGGGGTAGGGAGCGGGAGCATGGGAGGAATAGACAAACTGTAGATAGGGCAAAGAGGTGAAAGGGCAAGGGAGGGACCATGGGGTTAGAAATGATGGCAGAATGAAGTGGACATCATTACCCAAAGTACATGTAGGAAAACACGAATGGTGTGAATATAATTGTATAAAACCAGAGACATGAAAAATTGTGCTCTATATGTGTAATATGAAGTAATGCAGTCTACTGTTTGTCATATATAAAAACAAATTAAAATAAAAAAATTTAAAAAAAGAAAATGTGGTATATATACATAATGGAGTATTACTCAACCATAAAGGATGACTTTATGACATTTGCCAGCAAATTGATGGATCTGGAGATGAACATGCTAAGTGAAGTAAGCCAGTTCCAAAAAAAACCAAAGGCTGAATGTTTTCTCTGATAGGTGGAAGTGAACCCACAACAACGGGTTGGGAGTGAGGGGAAGAACAGAAGTGTAATAGATTAAACAATGGGGAATAGAGGGAAGAGATGAGGGGATAAGAAAAGGAAAGACAGTGGAATGAATCTGACATAGTTTTCCCAAGTACTTATATGAAAACAACACAGTGAATCCCACCACCATGTACATCCATAAGAATGGGACTCTAACTAGAATAAGATATATTCTATGCTTGTGTAATTATATCAAAATGGATTCTGTTGTCATATATAAGTAAAAACAACCATAAGAATGGGATCCTAATTAAAATAAGTTATATTCCATGTATGTACTTCAAAATACTCTCTACTGTCATGTATATCTAAAAAAAATAAATTAAAAAAATTTTAAATGCATTAAAAATCCCACAATCAGCTTAAAAGTCTTCAAGTTTGAGATATCCAAGGAGCATTCAAATAAAATAAAATGTATGCAATTAATTTAACACATATGGCTTCAATTATCCTAGAGAAGCTTATTAGGTTTTTAATTATATGTTCCAGAAAAGACAATAGTTCCTAATAATAATGCTAAGCCTCCCACTGGCCACTTCCCAACACCCCCAAGGTCCTCACAGAGAAAACACTGTTTCAGTCCTATAAACCCAGGGAGCTGGAATGCACAATGGAGAAAAAGTCCAATTGGAGTTCTTGCTGTTTACAGGGTAGCTGTGTTAGTAATAAATACTCAGTCTTTCAACTCGTATGAATTTTTTTAATCAACATCTTGCCACCTTTGTTTTATGTACACTTATTATTCTGAACCACTTGAAAGTAAGTTCGCTGGTGTCTTGATACTTTATTCCGAAATATGTCAGCATGGATCACATAAGAACAAGGACATTTTACTTTATTATTACAATAGCATTATCACACTCAAGGAATTTGATACTGCTACAGAAATATTACCTAAATACCCCTTATGTAGCTTTCCTTAACTGTCCTAAAACTGTCCTGTGGTGTTTGTCATTATTGTTTTCCATATTGCTGAATTGTAAGGAACTGAAGGAAAGAGGGGGGATCTAAATACCTGTAGTATTTATTATTCTGTAGTAACACATTACAATTGATGTTTGGTAAAAATAGCAAATGCATTACTTTTTAAAAAGTAATATAGTGATTGTATGTCAACTTTTCAACAAAGGAGATCTAATCATTGATCTCAATGACTATTTTCTTGGAATTCAAAAATATGACCATCAAGAACTTCTTTTGAATATGTTTCCTCAGATTTGTTGGGAATCAAATCCAGGACCTAGATACAATAGACACAGTATCATCAATCTCAAAAGCTCCTAAAAGTATTCATTTAAAATTTTTCTAAGTCTCTCACAAGGTTTTCCATAAGTACCTGCATGCAAAAACAGCACAAGTTTTTATTATCATATCAATTTAATTACAATTCCCTTTGGTTTGATTGTAGTTTATATTACGGGCCATTCTATTTCAGATCAGATTTATTTCATAATTGCCATACTTACTGTATTACTTCTATGGAAAAGTCTATTTTGAATTTCAAAAGCCCAGTTTCCAAACCTTCAGAACATATCTTTTATATAAGAGGAGGAGCTCCTTAGCGCAATAAGAATGTTGTTTTTAAAATGCAATTAGGGAGACATATTCATCTCTATCTATTTTTCCCCTTAACATATTGCCCTAGACAAAACTTAGCATGTGAAAAATGAGAGGTCCATGATGATCCACCACATGTTGTTGGCCATGATGATCCAAGAACATAGAAAGGGATAAAGATTAAATCTTTTGGGGACAATATAGAGAATTAAGAGTCTGGTCCTAAAAACTTAGGAAAAGAAATCAGTTGTAGTAATCCCATCTATGCAGGAGGCTAAGGAAGAAGGATCACAAGTTCAAGGACAACCTCAGCAACATAGTGAGACCCTGTCTCAAAAAAATGAAAAAGTGCTGGAGATGGAATGTAGTGGTAGAGTGCCCTGGGTTCAAGACTCAAAAAAACTAGGTAAAGAATACTTTATTTCTTGATACTAGACTATCCTAGATAGTAGAAGAATATCTAATGATAGATATAAGATAAATAACAAAGATCTGGAATCTTTTTAGAAAATGAGTTATGTATAATATCAGAGAAGTAAAAACTCTAGTGTAAGATTAAAGCAAATCAACTGTTCTAGAAAAGACAATAGTTCCTGATAATAATGCTAGGCCTTCCACTGGCCACTGCCTAACACCCCCAAAGTCCTCAAAGAGAAAACACTATGTGTCAGGCCTATAAATCCAGAGACCCAGGAGGACAAGGCAGGAGAATCTCAAGTCAATATCAACGTCAGCAATTAAGAGAGAACCTGTCTCAAAATTTAGAAAAATTAAAAGGGCTGGAGGATATAGCTCAGCAGAAGAGCACCCCTAAGTTTGATCCTCTATATCACATGGAAAGAGAGAGAGAGGAGAGAAACCCTGTGTGGAAATAGCCTCAGGAACATCTTTTTTATTCACATAAAGCCACCAAAGCTAATTTCAAGCAAACATTTAAATGAAAAATTTTAAATCACCAAAATACACAATGTGAGAGCCATTTTTCAATTAATTTTTTTACAGTAACTCAAGAAGCTATAAGAGCAAAGAAAGTATTGTTTTCCCTATATAGCATAATAGGTCAACTAAACTGTAAATTAAAAAATTAAACATCATAATTAATTCCTAAGAAATGTAAAGAGAAACTATGAAAATAAAACAAATATTGTGTTCCAATAGCATATTTGTTTGGTATTTTCTAAAAAATAAACATAATGTTATTTTTGTTGTTGTTGTTGAACTGGGAATCAAATCTAGGACCTAGTCCATGCGAGGAAGTTCTCTATCACCAAAGTACACCTCCAGTCCTCATAATACTATTTACAAAAATTTTTGTTTTTAGTTTTTGATAGACCTTTATTTTATTTATTTATATGTGGTACTGAGAATCAAATCCAGTGCCTCACATGTGCTCAGCAAGTGCTCAACCCAGCCTTTGTTATACTATTTTTAAGAGAACAAAGGGCTAGGTACAAATCTAACCTAAATAAAGAGAAACATAAGGTCATATCAATTATCACTGGGAAGTTTAGATTTCTTTCCTTAAAATCATTTATAGGTATTATAAAAACATATAATCAAGCTTTTTAAAAAATTTAAACACCAATTACCTAGTATTGCTAGGATATATAGAATATTAAAATATCCTTTCTCTCAGTTGGTAGAGTACTTGCCTCATATGCAAAAGGCTATGAATTCAATCTCCAGCACCACACACACAAAAAATCTTTTCTCAAGTGAAAGGATTATGAATCAGACTTTCTAGATTAAAATATAAAACTCAGTCATCAATTTAACTGGGAACTCATATTCTTGGAAATTTCCAAGTTGTTTTATGCTTGATTTATTCTTAGAACTGTATTTACTATAAAAATGAATGTGGGGGCTGGGGTTGTGGCTCAGTGGTAGAGTGCTCGCCTAGCATATATGAGGCACTGGGTTCAATCCTCAGAACCACATAAATGTTAAATAAAGATATTATGTCCACCTAAAACTAAGAAATAAAATAAATATTTTTTAAAAAATGAATGTGATATTATATCCACTAAAGAAAACGATCAAGAGGAAATA